CAAGGACTTTTCGAGCAACCGAAACAAGGCTAATCGGGCCATTGGTGAAGCTGCTCGACGAAAGAGAGACAGACATTTCCGCCGCGGCTGTGATTGCACTTAACAAATTTGCCTGCACTGAAAATTTTCTCCATCTCAACCACTGCAAAGCCATTATAGATGCAGGTGGTGCCAAGCACCTAATTCAACTTGTTTACTTTGGGGAACAAATGGTTCAGATTCCTTCCCTAATTCTCCTCTGTTACATTTCATTGCATATTCCAGACAGCGAAACACTTGCTCAGGAGGAGGTGCTTATTGTGCTTGAATGGTCATCAAAGCAGGCTCATCTGGTTAATGAACCCTCATTTGAAACATTATTACCAGAAGCCAAAAGTAGGCTGGAACTTTATCAGTCCAGAGGGACTAGAGGGTTTTACTGATGTAATCTCAAGTTGTACAATATTAATTTCTTTAGGGAAATATAAAACAGAAATTCCAGAGTTACATGTATGTCTTCTTGTCCTCATTTTTGTTAAGGTGTGGAAATATATATACGTGAATTAGTATTGCTGCATTTTAATTTAATTTCTACTTCTTTTTTCTTTTTCCATTGTCCTAATTGTTCAAGGCTTCAAGCTCAACTTTCAACCGGTTTGTAGTCTTCTTCTTTCTTGTTTTTTTTCTGAATTTTTCTGCAGGGATTGGCAGGGGTTGCAGCAGCTTTTCATCATTCTGGTGCCAGGGGATTGTATTACAAAAATTGAGTGGAAATGTGAGAGAAATTGATATGATAGGATTTGGAAATGTGGAAATGTTAAGTTGAGTTAGATGATCTCTGTAAACTTCAGTTGAAAAGCTGTAGTCATTTTGTATAACGAGTGCTGCAAAAGAGATTATCGTTCAAGTGGTCTCTTCGACCTTCATGCAAAAACAATCTTGTTTGTCTAAGTAAGTACCCACAAAAAATGATTAAAATACGAATAAGAACTCAATGGGGCAAAAGGAATGCAGCCCAAGTGATTAAAAGGTTTAACCCTCCACCGAGTTCTTGTGTTCGAATCACTCTCTCGTCGACGTCGACCTTCGTGCAAAAACAAATTTGTTTTCTGGTCACATTGCTATTTGCTTATGTTTATATATAGCATGTGCAGCAGTGCAGTAATACACAAAGTTTAGGCATCCCTTATGAATGCATGGTGGCCAAATGCCATTAATGTTCTCTTCTCCTACGCATTTCATGCCTATACCTCCAAAACCCATCATTCCTGAGCTTCAGATTTAACATTTCTTTGGAGCCCACAAGTACCTCTGTTTCTGCTGTTCCAGAATTGCACAGATGTAAGACAAGTCCATATGTCCCATGACAAAACGACACGTTGTAGTCTTTTAATTTCGGATGTAAAATTCAAAAGATTGACGCACACACCCTGGCTGGCCGGCTGGCTACCGTGCTCCAGCTAATAACATGCAATGCAACATGCATTCACACACTGCACTGCACTCGTATGGTTTTCATATCTCTCTGCTATTTGTGCTGGATAAAACAACACTTCACACAAATTGTTATGTTCATATCGGAGAGCCGAAAAGACGACACACCACATACATTTCATGCGGCGTATGTGATGCTTGAATTTTTTCTTTTTGAATCTTAGTATTATTTTGTGTCTTAACTTTTTGAAATTTTGTTATGTCATCGTGATTGTGTTGTATCGTAGATGTATTGCAGATTAAGTAGAATAAAAGAGGTGTCTCCAAAGGGAAAACAACGTAGGCTAAAGAGATGTAGCAATAAGTGTGTTTAATGTTCTGGTCTAAAGGCATGTTTGGTAAGTCGAAGTCGAACTAGATTGGACTATTTCAATTAAATTATACAATTGTTATGATTGTTGTTCAATGAACTTATAAATGGTGAGACTATATTTATTATATTCTACAACAGTCAAACATATTATGTTTTACAAATCATATTTAAAGAGATGAGACTCATAAGGATATACTTGAATTTAACTTCAACCCAGTCTAAGTGGAGCCGAGAAACGAGCCCTATATTGTATAATTATAACGAGTCGTTCTATAGTAAGGGCCTAATTATGGCCCTTAGATTTTTAATTGTTGGATCACGTTAACCAAATTGATCCAACAATTAAAAGATAAAGCCTCATGTAAGGATCATATATTAGACCCTCACCGTATAATTCTTGTAACTCAGCTTATATCTCTTGTATGGGGCATGACAACCTTGCCCTCTCATCAATCTCTATGGGCCTCAGGGTATCAGAGTTTGACAAAGTCAAACCTTTGCTTAAGCATTGCAAATATACGGGCCTCAAAATACAGACCAAGACAATAAAAATGGGCTATATAGATTTGGAGTGATAATTTCAAGCATAACTCGTTATACGATTCGAAACCCACGTGAGAATTTAGCGGGTTCAACCCGCACAATGTTGACCCAATGGTAAAAGGGAAAGCATGTGACCAAATGCAAACTCTCTATGTTCAAATCTTCACAACAGTCAAAAATTCTAGTTTACACAAAACACATGGCTTGCAAGTTACTGTGAGAACAAATAATAATAATAATAATAATTACTCTGCAAAATTATCATTTGCACTATTCTGTATGAGTGCAAGAATCAAGTGACTGGTAGTAGAAAAAAATTCAATAATATTTGACTGACAAAAGAAAACCAAAAGTAAAAAACTTTACCGGAAATTGGTCCAATAATCTCCAGAGAAAAGTCGAAGTTTTCTCTTCGAATCATTTATCATTTCTTTTCCCCTTCTATGATGAAACTTCAAAGATGGAGAAGAAAATCTGACAAATATGACAGAAAACACTACCAAGGCAAACAAATTCATGGCGATTGTTTTTAAAAAAAAATTATTTATAACTTTATCTTTCTGCAATTTCTTAAAGGGACATGCATCATGCATGGCAGATGCTTTTAAGCTTTTTTTGTACGGTCGTATCTACATCCCGGCAGAGTATGTTTGACCTGGTTAATTTTCCAAAATTGACCCCAAAATTTAATATCAGGTGACTCATGAGGTTAATCTTAAACATTGATGATTAACTAACTTATTTTACATCTATGTAATCATATGATGTGTTTAATAAATTCCATAAACTTTATGAGTTTGAGTTTTTCTTCTTTTCACAATTCCAAAAATTTTGTTAAGTTTGCTCGATTTCGTAGTATATTTAGGAGAGTCATGCCGGTTAGTTGCCCGTTTTGTCATTGATGTAATCGGACTAGATTCGAGGCAACTATGGTGGTAGATAGGAGTTTTATAAAAGTTATTTTTTAGGAGTCTTATGTCCACCATACTACTATTGAGATGACTCCATTTACAGTTCTTTTCCTTTGTATTTTTTATATCTGTTTGATCTAATAAACTTCTATTGGATCGGATTAATATCGTACTTTATTTTGTGTTGTACAAAAAATTGAAGTTTCATTAGTAGTCTCATTCTTTTATTGTACTTATCTACTTTTTATATTGAATGTTTATATATTTTATCATAAAAATAAATTGTAAGTGTATTCTTAGTGCATATAAAACTAAAATTACTCATTTTCACATATATAATATTAATATAAAGCATGGAAAAACTAAATTATACTTCATACTAAGTCGGATCAGATTAATATCAAATCATATCAATTATAATCCATGTCTAGATCCATTTATAATCGAATTATCGGATTGAGAAGTCCAATCCATCTTCTATTAATTACGCCAAATTCAAATTGAATTCGGATCAAAATCTCATCCATTGACATGTCTAGTATCTACTACACCACATTAATATTACATCATTCCACTTAGGATATGTAACATATATTTTCATTGAAATTTAAAAATAAAAAAAATTACATATGGTCTTGAAAACTCAAGTTGTGCTTTATAAATGTATAAATTAAAGGACTTTAGACATTAAAATTTAAGGAGATTCACTATTATACCTAATATAGAGGCCGAAATTGTAAAGAGACCCTACATGAAATGGACTGTAGAAACACACTCAAAGTCCATTTACAATATAACAAAGAGGCTTCGAAATTTTTATAAATTACAAAGCTGCCATCGATTTCTTAAAATAAGCCAAATCCGAAAAGCTCATTAAAAAATCCAATACACTCAATAGTGCATTAAAACGTTAAGAATACGTATATAACTAAATATCTCTAAAATTTAATGCTTATCACCTAATCCCTCTTGAATTTGTCTCATACAATAACGTTTGTCACAAGAGATGTAAATACGATTGGAAGTTTTTGGCGAGTTTTTACTATTTCATAATGAGACCCACACAGAAGCAGATTATTTGTCAAACAAACAAATTTTGGACACATTCATTGTATCCAAATCAATCATACTTGATTTAGATTACTACACTTTTGTAAATCCAATGTACTTAACAATTATTCTTTTTCGAGAAAAATAATTAAATTAATTTACTGTGACAAGCACAAGCTCTGTTCGTTGGAAAGACAAGAGTCACAAGACCCACCGATAAGACTCGACCTGCAGATGCTTTGACCGTCAAATTGACCATTTGACCAATCCCCTCTCCAAACCTTAAAAAGGAAAGGCTCTTTTTTTCGTATGCGGTCTCGGGGACTAAATAGTAATTTCATCATCTGATTTCCCACCAAAATTACCCTAATTGGATATTCAGCGTGGACACCCTGGCCTATTTTGTTCCACATTTCCCAAAATATCCTTTTGGGTAAAAAGGTAATAACAAGAAGAACCTGGAAAAAAGAGAGAGGGGAGATATTTTGGGGGTACCAATGAAACGGACTACTCGAATTCCATCCTATCCATTTCCGGGGACCAATCCAACGGCCCAAATAAACACGAAAAAATAACTAATATCCCCAGCCGTCGGTTTGGGTTATGCAAGGGAAGCCGTCGCTTCGGCTCTCACGGGGCCCACTAAGAGCTAACGTGGCAATCAAGCCCTCTCTTGATTTGGATGTATAAGTAGCTGTCAATCCCTCAGCCCCAAAGACCATTTTGTGCTAGAGTGAGAGAGCCGTGTGGGTTTTCTAGGGTTAGGGTTTCAAGGGTTTGAGAGAGAAATTTCAGAGAGTCCAAGATGGGTGAGAGACTGAGTGGTACCGTCAAGTGGTTCAATGACCAGAAGGGGTTCGGCTTTATCACCCCCAACGATGGCGGCGACGATCTGTTCGTCCACCAGTCCTCGATCCGAACGGAAGGGTTTAGGACCCTCGGCGATGGCGAGTCGGTTGAGTTCCAGATCGAATCTGACAGCGATGGCCGCACCAAGGCCGTTGATGTGACTGGACCGGGGGAGGGTCCCGTTCAGGGAAGCCGTGGTGGTGGCGGTGGTGGTGGTAGAGGCCGAGGTGGCGGCGGTGGGGGTTATGGGTTTAACGGTGGAGGTGGTAGAGGCGGAGGCGGTAGAGGTGGGAGAGGAGGCGGTGGCTATGGAGGTGGTGGATACGGCGGTGGCGGTGGTGGATATGGCGGTGGCGGTGGATATGGCGGAGGAGGCGGTGGTGGCGCCTGTTTCAAGTGCGGCGAGTCTGGGCATATGGCTAGGGACTGCGAGCAGGGCGGATCCGGCGGCGGTTATGGCGGTGGAGGCGGCTATTCAGGTGGTGGTCGCGGAGGCGGTGGTGGTTCTTCCGGTGGCTGCTACGGGTGCGGTGAGTCTGGCCATTTCGCAAGGGAGTGCCCTAACAGGTCTTAGATCTGTCATTTCACCCTTAGTGTCTCTGCTGCTGCCGTTTCTGGGTTTTGTCGTTTAATTAAGTCGGGTTTTTTTCTAAGAAATGTTGACTCATTTTCAGTATGAGGATTGTCGGTTTTGTGGGTCATCTGGTTCTTTCATTCCATGGAAACATGAATTGATGGCTTTTGATGTAGTAATTTTTTTTTCTTTCTTATTTTTAAGATTTTAGTAGTGAGGATTTGGTGTTTTGGCAGAATATGTGGCTTTATGTTTTAGTGGTTGGACTATGATTCATACACATTAATATACTCTGCTCCTCTGTTTATTGTGTTCTGTTTTTGGTATGGTTTCCGTGGCGGTACCGGCGGCCCTCATCACAGCTTTAGGGTTAGGGTTTATGAATTTGAATTGCTGCACTTAACCCCCCTATATTATTTGGGAAATTGAAATAGACCCATTGATGCAAAAAGCACAACAATAATGCAATTCTCATTCAATTTTAGAACCCTACTGTTTTTGGGTTGTGGCCCTCTTGTTGTTTCATATGTGCTTTGTCTGGTCGTTCATGGCCTTTTCTTCACACTTTTTCTTGTAGTTGGTACATTTACTTTAGCTTTATTTTGTTGCTTTGATAACCTGAGTAGGTAGGTGGAAGATGGGAGAAGGAGAATGATTCTTTGTGAGTTGTTTTTCTCGACCCAAGTAAATTGCAAAGAAAAAGGTTATTGGTTAATCTTGGAATTTGAGTTTTTGAATGAGTGATTTGTAAATCCTACACAGGTTCAATCCATTGTTAGTCATGTGAGTAATTTTTCTTGGAATTTACCCTGGCACTTTTTGGCTTGTTAATTCTTTTGGGGTAAATGCCAAAAGAGTGATCTGCTGATTTTGATATAATAAATCTGTCTAATTAAAGACATCATAATGAGTTCAATTCATAATGGAGATGGAAAATTTTCTACCATAAAGAAAATAGTGGGCTTTTGGTTTTGCAAGCATTTGCAATTAACTTTTATGGCGCAAAAATTCCATCATGAGTAGGCAGTGTGATGGTGTTGGTTTATGGGTAGGAAGCTTTTTGGTTAAGGTTATGATTTGGGAGACATGTGTGACAACTAGTGGAAGGTTTTGCTCGTGGTCGTACAACTATTGGGATTTTTTTGCTCGTGTTCGTACAAATAAATAGTGTTTGTACACTAATTTATTTGAGTAGCACATTTTCTATTTTTCTGGGCAGATTTGGATAGATACGATTGGATTTGTCGTCCGGGAAAAAGAAGGTACGATTGGATTTGTCAATTCTCATGTCGACCAGGTTGAATTGATCCAGTAATCTGGATTCTATAGTCATAGATGGGCTTGGGTGGAAGTGAGGCCCTAGTATTGATGGCTGGTTTTCCTTTGTGTTTTTGAGCCATTGTTTCCCTTTTGTGTAGATGCAACTGCAGACTCATTATAAGAAAAGTTTTGTTTTCTCCGGTTGGGTATCGAGGATAATCGTCCTCTCCGACTCCGTCCGTACTCTCGAGCAACTTCGAAGTTGGTGTACTATGGAAAAAGAAGGCAAATTTCGGTCATACAAACCGGCTTCACAGCTCGTGCAAGGGTTAAACCAAAGATGGCAGAACTGACAAAGAGTCAAATTAATGGCTTGGGAGGTTTCTTCTAGCAAATGAATTGTTTGGCAGCTCTTGAACTTGAATTTTCATTTTATTGGGGCTTTAATGTAAATCTCATTGATAATTATTTCCCTGCTGGACTTGGCTTTGTGGACTGTTTTGAATGGGGATGGCCTTTTCGAAGCTCGTTGGTTTGGGTTCAAACTCCCCTGTCCATTATGCGTACGCCAATTTCGAAATAACCCCTTCCTCACAGTCGTCCAACAAGAATTGATACATGTTCATCATCCGTAAGGGGGAAAAAATAGACTTTAGTGGTCCTAAAAGAAGAACATGAATTCATGTATGAAAAAGAAAATTTACATAAATGTAACAATGTTGCTAGTATAAAGCTGTTAATGGCTCATACCATCACTGTGACCCGAGCACCACGTGGCCACAGGATGCTGGGTTGCCCTTATACCAACCAGATCAGATGCAGTACCTCGGGTGTTGATAAAGGGCCCCCAGCCGAACCTGACAGGACAAAATGTGAATTAGTGATCGGGCATTCGAACACCGACCCGACCACTATGATGCCATGTATGACCAAATGCACATTGATGTTAAACACGCATGATCAAACCCCTGTCAAGTCAGTCACTCCATCCATCTGATTAACAGTCTGGCGATGGAAAGAGATCAGTTAATGTATTTCCAATCCAAAGCCAGGTGTCGCTTTACCATTTGATTCCCGATGAGCAGCCTAGTAATGGAGAGGGATCAATTAATGTGCCTCCCATCCAAAGCCAAGTGTCGCTTTGCCACCTGATCCCTGTCAGACAGCATGGTGATCAGAATAAGTCATTTAATGTAATCCAGTCCCACCAGGGGGAAGGGAGATAAATATATTTGTCTCTCCTTCTCTCCTTATAAAAATTACAAAGGGTTTGTAGTTAAAGTGTTTAGCCCTTGCGTCCAAAGGCCTAGGACAAATTTATTAGATGAGTAGTGGCAAGTCGGGAAATCAACTTTTGGGCTAAATTTTGTTCTCTGCCTCTTAAATCTTAAATTATTCAATCTCTCGTTAGAAAATAAGTAAAATATTCGATATTCTTCAAAACAAGAGAGCATGTATGGATTTGTATTATTAAAGTGGCTTAGCTACAAGAACTGGCGGACCTACAGAGGCATTGCACCTCCTCTTACTGGAGAAAGAGTTTCAATTGCCTTAAAGTTGCCCCTTCGCTTAGTTTGGCATGATAGACTTCCTTCCTTTTTAGTGCAGTGCCGCTTACTTATGTTTTTTTTAAACTCATGGCTAAAACGACGTCGTTTTGGACCATGAGAAAAAAAAAAAGATAAAAAAAAAAAGAAGATAAAGTCCATACTCTAGACGGAAAAGGAGGAAAACTCCTTGAGCAATAAGGAGATTTTGCTTAAAAATAAAAAAAGAAAGTCTCCGCTTTTTGAGAGGTTCTTTACGTCTACCGATCTAAATCCTGACCCCAAAAAAAAAAATCATCAAATTCATCTTTTTTTACGTCTTCATATGTTTTTTGTTTAGGTTTTTTTTTTTTTTTTTGGAGAGAACTCCAAGTCTTTTATAAAAACTGATTCATTGATCAAGTCTTGTGCCAAAAAAGAAAATATACAAATTTATAAATAAACCCAATCCTAGACATGTATTTATAAAAAAACCCAAGCACTATTTAAACATAGAAACACACCCAAAATCAACCACAAAGTCAACTTTTTGGGTGTGTTTATAAATGGGTTTTGAGTGTGTGTAATGATGAGTTTTGGGTGTGTTTATATGTTTAAATAGTACTTGGGTTTTTTTATAATTTCAACCCCCATTTTGGGTGTTTTAGTGAAACTTGTATCGATCAAGCTTCCAAATAAGTTCGAATGTAATTCATAGTTAATTGACATAAAAAAAAGGATGAAACATACTACCGTTTTTTCTTCTTCATCAACCTTCGCGCCAATTTCATTTTTGGTATATGAATGACATTGTTATTGTTTAAATTACAAGACTATTTTGTTGTTAATTTTTATTTAAAACTTTTAGCCTTTCAAAATTGCACTTTCGCCAAAAAATTCCTTAACCCGACAACGACTAGTCTACAAGTAGCTCGTGTCATTTGAGGTCTCAAATTTAACCAAATATCGCCTAGCGTTGCTCGAGATGCTAACCATATATAAAATAACAAATGGAATTTGAACACATGCATATTATTTATTGGTGAAAGCAGAACCAAAAGCAAAGCAACAGTCATGACATTAGAAAGAAAAAAAGAGAGGCTATTTCAACAAAATTCCACCTCTGAAATCACAGGCTTGTCGTCCAAATTGAAATCGTCTTCTTCTCTGGCTATCGATTAAAGCAAGAACATTATTATATAATATAACCATGTAAGAGACAAAAATAAAATGGGGCTTTAACTGAAAAGGCACAAGGCTTTTGTTATTTTCTTGGGGTCGCATGCTAAATCTAAAGTGAACTGTGAACAACTTTGTGGCTTTTACTCCGACACTTCTGTGATGCGAGATGGTAGATTATTAGATTCCCACCCACATCACCAGAATTTTATCTCCACACCCAACCAAAGCAGACTTTTATCATACACCCCTTACGTCAGGCACAATTGTTTTCCCTTGTTCTTTAATCTTTTTTTAGGTTATTTTTCTTGGGGAGCTCTCATAATCATGGAACTTGAGCTGGGGTTTCAGAGAAGGTGTAGAGAAAGAGAGATGCTTTCAGTTTCGGCATATATTCTGTGCCTGCTGGATAGCCTGCATGCAATGCCTTTTACTTGATGAATTTTCGTTTTCAAGGTCTGAGTAAAGTGGGAAGCACTCGATACATTATATATCATTGGAAACCAGAAAATTTTAAAATCTAAAAGTGATGTATATCTATGGGTACTGTCAAAAGAATCCAGTTGGTTAATTTCGTAAGCTCAAGATGGGCAATCTAACATATGCAAGTGCTCAAAATGTTGAGCCCAACATTTTTTTTCTAGTGTACAACCTCTTTATATGCTCGGAGAGAGACAGACACATAGGTGCACTTTGTTTACTTTGTGCTCACATCTACGTTATAGCACATAGTGGCGGAGGTGGAAATTTGTCACGAGAAGGGCATGATAATAACCATGTGAAATTGAACTTGGGATCAAATTGCATATTTTGCTCAAAGCAATTGAAGTACATATACATCCTTAGATAGTTCGAACTATTTGCCTTAATTTATTATGAAGTTTTTAATGAATTATCTATTTATTTATTATAGACTGAACTTCTGTTGAAGTGTCAAATCCATTGCTTGCCTAAATATGCAGTAGGGCAGGACAGTGTATTTCGCTTTTATAGTTGCCATTCACCATTTTGTGACATTAAAAATTGAATTCTTGAAAATTTAACACACAAAAATATACTCATCCAAACCTTATGGGATTCAAAATTTTCAAGAGAAAAGGAGAGACAAAACCCTAGGGCATGGTATAACAAAGATTACAAATTTGATTTTCGAATATTTCATGCATTTTCTGCCCCTTTTTTTTTTTTTTTTTTTGACTCATGGTAGTGACCCTAAAAGCTAAAACTGACGCATAAAATTTAACAGAGAACAATAAGGTTGTGTAATTTGAAGGGGGTCAAAATGCTCATTTGGGCACCACATACTTTTTTTTTATAATGTGCCCATGGCACTAGGCGTGGAATAATAGA